TATAGCCATAATCAAATTTATCTCAGTTTTTCCTCTGAATTTTAATCTCAAATCACTTAATAAATATCTGTAAAATTAAATAAAATGTGACAAAATTTTAACATTTTTAAAATAGCGGTGATGGGTTCTAGATACTCATTGTATTATTCTTTAGACTTTTCTGTAGGCTTGACAATTTTAATAATAAAATTGAGAATGAAATTTTTAAAAAGTCATATATAAATTTTACATTTGCTACTTAAACTTATTACTACTAGGTAATGCTACTATATACTTATCTACTCTATACCTATATACCTTGAAGTATTAGAGTACTGTAAGGTGTACGTTGTTTTGAAAAAGTGTTAGTTGTTTCATAGTTTCTTATTACTACTTTTGAATGAATATATAAACACAACTTTCTCCTATATTTACAAATGTTTCCAGAATTTGACTAAAACATGGCCCTGACTCTTCAGTAGCATCATTTCAGAAAATACTAGCATTTCTACTTCTGTAATGACACAGCGGTAATCTTTATTTTGAAGAGCATCCCAATGACACACATTAAGTTGGGTTGTGTGCACACTTAGGGGCATTTTAACTGTTTGCTGGCTGAGCAGAATCTGCTTTGATGCTCCCTCTTCTGTTTCCCAACCCCTCAAACAGTGTAACTCTCCACAGAGCTGCCTCTTAGTCTCTGTAAGGTGGGCTGTTAGTGAGATCACACATCTGGATTATCCTGGGGTAAGAGAGGTGAGGGAGTCTTGAGCTCATTTTTTTCTGTCACTAACTACTCTGTCTAGATCCTCTGACATCTTGGTTTTGGGGACTTATGCTCGCTCAGGACACTTTCCAAACCAAGTGTCACTGGGGGAAGTGCTGGGGAAATGAGAATATGCAGATGATGAAATTGTTGAACTCAGTAAGATGAATATGACTCTTCTTTGCAGTTTCTTTTAGTCCTGCTCTTCATTCTTCCTTTCCTCCTAATGTCTTTTAGAGTTCCTTATTAGAGTAAAAGTTATTTTAAGAAGCAAAAATGCCCACATGCACAGAGCTGATTTAAACGTTTATTTAAATAGGACGAAGGTAAAAACGTAATTTATTTTTGTGGTGATTAAGTAGTTTTAGTCTTATAGTGTCATACAAAGAATGTGGGAAATTATTTATGCAATTTCTCTTCTGAGTTGCCATACATATGTATTAGTTTGATAAATTAATGCTGTTGCCATAACAGCCCCCAAATTCCCCTGTACATCTTCTATTGACTTTTATTACAACACCCTAGTTTTTTTCTTTACTTTCACCAAGTTGTGGTCAGTGAGATTTTTGCAAACTAAATACAATCTACCTTTTAACCCAACTGTTGAAGAATAATGAAATCTAGTGATTTACATATCCTAGATAACTAATATTATAGATATCAAGTCTTTGTTGTATCCCTTTGGTAATATATAAATCAACTTTGAATAATAAACTCTCAAGATATCTAGGGTGACTCAGTTCTCATGATTTAATAAATATAAATGAAATTCTCTAATATTCTTTTGTGATTGAGCTGGAAATCTATGTTTATTCCTTTTATTTTAGCCATCATAATCAGGAGTGAATGAATAGTTATTGCAACACAGAATTTTAGAGCCTGGTACATGCAAGTTCTTCTCTTGTTTATTAATTATTATATACAAATGTCAGTGAGACTCAGTCATTTCAGTGACTTCCCCAGGCTCACTTAATTTGTGGTAAACCAAACCAGCTGATATATAGACATACCTATTAATATAGATACTTATATATCTGAAGAAATTATTCATGCATGATAATATAAAGTTGTAACTCACTATACAACACTATAGCACATACAATATAACATAATTAAAATAATACAAAATTACATATAAAATTTCATGCAAAATGGACACTGTTACTTAGGCTGCAGAAGGATTTAGGCCAAAGGCACTTCTTCATGTCAGACTCTCTCTCTACCCTCCTCCTCCGCCACTGAAATCCATTTAGCACATTGCTTTTGACAAGTTTGATAGACTTAGAAATATATATCCCTTAAGTGATCATTTCTCTTTACTTCTGTTACTCAGTTCTGAAAAGTTTTTCAGTTGTGCTGAATTGTTTTATACATGCAGTTATTATAGAGTTTCATTAATCTTTTATTTATTTATTTTTTAATTTGAACTCCCTAGTAGTTTTTCTTCTGTTGGAAAAAAATAAATAAATCCTCCTGTCTCTATTCAGGCAATTATCAAGGAAGTCTGAATCCCTTCATATGAAGCCTAAAAGGTATAATATTCAGGTTTGAGGGTGATAATGGCAGTTGTGTGACTACAGAACATTAACCCAAGGTATGCCTACATTTTATTAAGTAGCTAGGTCATTCAGAAGCATATTGCTAATAGCTTTGTATCTTAATAGATTACAAAGGGAAAAACAATGGAGGGTTCAAAACTAAAATACTTAAGATAGTGAAGCATATTTCTAAGGAAATGCAAGTATATTTAATGTCAATGTTGTGATGAACATTTTCTATAAAATCTATCATTGATTTTCAGTTCTTTATTTTTCATTTTTCTTATCACTGGTTTCTATCATGCTTTTTTTTTGTATTTCAGTGCATTTATAACATTACAGTAAAAATAAAGAAGGCTTCATAATCTTAAGTCATATGACTCAGTCATACTTAGATATTTTCAGTGTCCTTTTCAGACGCATTTTCCTAAGACACTATTTTGACCAGATATTTTCTTTTTCAGAATTTATATTGCTCTCCAGATCAAATCTAAGCATGTGTAAGATTTTTAAGATCCTTCGTGATCTGTATAAATCCCCTTTTACTAAATTTATTCCATTCTTGTAAACATAATAATTTTTGTATTTAACTTTGGTTTAATTTAAAACATTTGTTAAAATATTACAGTTACCTTTGTTCCAATCTTGGCCTCTGTGTCTTTGCAAAGATAGTTTTCCAGCTTGGATGGATAAAAATAACCTTTATTTATTATTTAAGGCTTATCCATGAAGCCCTGTTATCTATTTCATTCTACCATGTATCCACCCCTACAAACGTACACATAGAGCAATGTTTTTCCCTTCTCCGAATTACTGTTACAGCATATTACTTAACACCTGATTATGTACTGTCCTGAATGGCCTTAAATTGCGTCACGGACAAGAACTTATGAGAATTCATTAACAGTATTTATATTATTTTACTTCGGCATGACCTCCAAGGTCTGGGTCACTTCAGGAGAATTTAGTACTGCGACAAAGATAAGCAAAAATCAATGTCCTTGAGTCAGGTACTCAGAAACTACGAAAAGATGTGAAGTTTCATTCGAATCTTAAAAATGACCCAGGATATCTTTCTAAAAATTTTCTGTCTCATGATTCTGATGAATGCACTTATTTACTTTTTTAATTATAATGCAAAAATTGTGAATTTATAATAAAAATCAGTGAAGAAGATAACTTAGGTAATATATAATGTCATGGTGGTTTAATTAATACCACTTAACTTAATTGGTTTCTGTGTTAACTGATATAATCAATTGATGGACCTTTTGAAAAGCCTTGTACTAATCAGGTATATAATTTTTGTTTGTTTATATACTTGTACAGTCATTGTGATCACTTTTACAGCACTGGGTGATTTAGATAATCACACGTGTGATAATTTCAGATGAGGTTTGGCATACCTCATTTCTAATTATTACTACTTTCTAAGAATGTTACCCACCATAAAAAAACGAGCTACATTTTATTTTGCTTTTCGTGGTATAGCTGAAATTTTCTGTAAATTTTCAATGCATCGAGTGAGGGTGCGAGAAAATAGAAGTCCTGAGAAGAACCCGACTTGGTTGAAATCAGATAAGCTTGTCTATGTCTTTGCTTAAAGGATACTGTCTCAAAGAGAGCTGCCCTGAAACTCAAAAACTTCTTCTCAATCTCCAGGAACCCGTGATCCCCCTTATCTTGCTCTGTTATTTCCCCCCCAAATTATCTTATAACTTAATACATAATTTACTTATTTATTATGTATGTATTTATTATGTATATTCTTACTGTGTCTTCTTCTATTCGAATGTTAAGTTTCACTTTTGTGCAGAGATTTTGTCCTTCTTGTCTAGCACAAAGTAGGAAGTCAATAAATTAAATGATTTTGTATTCTTCCAGCATTGTTTCATTCTCGTTACTTCTCAGAGTCAATAATGACCTGTTTCCAACAATCAACATGGACTCTTTCCATTTTAACTGTCTGTTCTTTAGGGCATTTCCTTTTGCATTTCCCTTCTCAATTGTATCACGATTTTAGCCATTTTTTTTTTCTTTTGTTTATTCTGTTTGCCAAGCTAATTTTAAGCATGTATATTTAATTTTATCATCTTCTAGTCCTTTAATATCCTTTCTACATCTTTCATCCTTTCCTAGATATATTTCAATTTCTACAAGATTTTTTTTTCCTCTGTTCCAGTTCCTCAAGACCTTTTTTCTTAACAACTAGCTCCAGAAATCTTGCTTTTCCCTGTAAATATTTAACAAGAAAAGTTATAAGACTGGTCTCCACTCTGTCTCCTCTGTCTACCCAACAGCCAACCTTGCAGTCCATGATTTGGAGTCATCCTTCACCCAAAATCCTACTAAAATGCAGATTCCCTTTTACTTGAAGCTAATACAAAAATTACTTAGTGTTACAAATCTGCTTATAACGATTTGCTTATTTTTTAATATATTTTTATCTTCTATTTTAGGAAACTTCACAATACTTGTCTATAGATTTACATGTATTTATTTTCTTTTATCCAATTTTTATTGAAAGTAAGCAATTGTCTAATCTTTTTTTATTAATAATGTAAAATTTTAGGAAACTGCACTATACTTGTCTATACATTTACATGTATTTATATATTTAATTATTTTCTTTTATCCAATTTTTATTGAAAGTAAACAATTTTCTAATCTTTTTTTATTCATTATGTAAAATTGTTTCATATTCTTATTTTCAACAGGTTATTGCTTTAGTCATGGATATATTTACAGATGTGGACATTTTCAAAGAAATAGTCGAGGCATCAACTCGAGGGGTATCTGTATACATTCTACTTGATGAGTCCAATTTTAATCATTTTCTAAATATGACTGAGAAGCAGGGTTGTCAAGTTCAACGTCTCAGGGTAAGAATTCTATTTTTTTCCTCACGAATTTTGTGTACCATTTTTATCTCAGTCAAATTTAACGTATGTCAAGGTAGATTCCTCCAAAAGTAAAAAGAAAAAAATGTGTATGTATTTGATCACAGAAGGATCCCCTTATACATTTTAGAGTGTGACTGAAAACACATATCTTTGGAAGGGTTTTATATTGTGCTTTTCTTGATGGTGGAACACTTTAGTTTTCGGGTTAACTTTGCTGCTAGTCATATTTAATGATTCAGTTTTGCACACACCACCTTGAAACTGCTGACTCAACTGAGTCTATGATTCAGCAAGTGTTGTTCATCAAAATTGTTTGACACAGTGTTTTTAGTTATGTTTGACTTTTAAAAGGAAGGTAGATTTTAATTTTAGTTATTTTAAAAC